AGTGGCATCCTCAGCATGGACCATGTTGATCATGTTTTTACCAGCTTTATTGGAGAAGGAATCATCAAAGATGATATCCTAGGCATGATGGAGCAGTTTGATTTGATTGCTAAGTTCTCTGTTTCTCCAATTAATTTGAAGTACTTTGTACCAGCTCAGCTGAAGTCATCACCTGACAAACTCTTAAAATTGAAGCCATCATCAACTGATCCATGTCCAATGTATCTCCTCTTCGTGCATGGCTTTGTCCCTCATGGTCTGTTCTTACAACTTGTTGCACGACCCATTCAATGGTGTGCTGAAACATGGCCGCACATGCATCAACCTACTCTGTACCAAAATGGAGCTCGGTTCATCATTGGGAAAAATGTTCACGATTTTGCCCTTATTTGCAAAATAGGATTCGTTAAGATAACCTTGCGCCAAAAGGTGCAAAGTAATCAGGTTGTAGGACAGAACTCCGTCGAATTAGCAACTGTTGTTCGTGAATTTATCGAAGACACAATGCAGAATTTATCACAAGAAATATGCCATACCTAAGGGGTCTGCGGTATAGGCTGTGTGTTGCATGTCCTTACTGCCATCAAGGAGGAGAAGACCCAAGTCGTGCATGCTCAGACCACGTGAAAACCACTTGCACACACGAAGACTGCTTCCATCTCATTGATGCAAATGAAGGTCGAGCAGCTTTCTGTACCAGAGAAATTTGGGATGATATACGTCCGATCTGTGGGCTGGAAAAGTGGTTCGTGAAAAGAACAAGCCAGGTATTACTAGTTATTGTGATCTTTTTCCTTCTCTGATTCATATTTTCAATGGTTCTCTTCAATTCTCCTTGTTTGAGAGTCAGTTTGCACAATGTTATCATGGTTAGTTTGCCTCCAATTTGAAAGATAAATCGGACATTTGTTTTCAAGATAAAATTATTTTTATAAGTTATACTTCTCGATTATACCATGTTAATGATTATAAAGAAGTAGGTGCATACCCCAAATTTTTAATGCTTTATAAGTGATAGAACCTTACATGACCTCTTCTTTTTTTATCCAGGGGTCTTGGTCTTCAAATGTCATCGCCAAATCACAAGATGCAGCAGCTGGAGTTGATCCAATGAAGTCTGACACAGCACTGAAGGCGACTCTCCTGGGTAGTGAGGGGAGTTCATCGATGAGAGGCTTGTCCACCATAAACAGACAGTCTGCCATTTTGTTGGCCAAACATTCGCAAGTTGACGTCACTCTCCTTGTTCCGCAGTTTGCCTGTTCTGAAGAAGAGAAGAGAATGTTATCGAGTCACAGTGTATCCTTGAGAGAGGCACAAAGACGCCCGGGCTATGCCGACCCCCTTGACTGGCTGAGTGCCCCACCGAGGGATCTGGCCATTGACATAGTACTGGGTCATGGAGCAAAGCTTGGCAAACAAGCTCAATTTATTAGAGAATCGTACCAGTGCACGTGGATACAGGTGGTGCATACTGTACCTGAAGAACTTGGAATGTATAAAGGCTATCCTCTGGCCATTTGTAAAGATGAAGAGAAGAATACAACTGAAGTGGAGTTGTGTGAGTTGGCAGATGCTGTGGTAGCAGTTGGACCAAAGTTGACGACGGCTTACTCTTCCTACCTGCGCTCATGTGAGAAGCACCAAGAGATCATTCAACTGACGCCAAGCACGTTGGATGATTGTTCCGACTTAAAACGAGCTGCAGTTGACATGGACAAGTTTAAGGTCCTAACATTTGGCCGGGGTGATCCAGTGGACTTTAGCCTGAAAGGCTACGATATCTCTGCCAGAGCCATAGCTAAACTGAACGACAGATCTTACCATCTGATTCTCGTAGGTGCACCTGACGGTAAACAGGATGAGGCTGCAGCGAATCTGCTGAAGAGTGGAATTGATAAAAGCCAGCTGACTGTGTAGAAGTTCGTGCAGAGCAAAAAGAAATTGAAAAAATTATTTTGTGAAGTTGATCTCTGCATGATGCCCTCCAGAAC